CAGCAACAGCAGCAGCAAGAACAGCAGCCCCATGAGCAACCGTACCCAGGTGATGGGTGGCTCTCCCAACCCCTTCCAGGCTCAGTACCCTGGGAGTGGAGTAAATCAAGCGACATATGGGTACATGAACCAAAGTCCAGTTGTGATGATGCCATACTACCAGTGTGGGGGGACAGTCGGGCCCTACTACCAGTGGCCCTCACCAGTGATGATGCAGTGGCCTATGATCCCTCTACCATCAACACATTACAGTGCCCAGAGCCTGACCCCAACAACAACAACATCCTCGGGAATGTCTGGGCCATACCCCCATCTGTCTGCTGTGCCCCTCAACCCTCACAGCCATGGTCCCAGTGCTCCCTCCAATCTGCAGGGAGTAGCCTCGAAGTCCATGGACGAAATGATAGACCCATGCAGCAGCAGCAGCAACAGCCCTCATCATGGCCACAACACTGGCAGTCACAGCTGTTTGAGCAAATTGAATTTACACACTGGTATGGCAGTGCACCCCCAGGCCCAGGCGAGCCAGGAAACTTTGTCTGGGATGCTAGTTGTGGGCCCCAGGCGGGTCGATGGCCACAGGTTAACGCTGTCTGACTCACCTCGGAAATACCACTCCTCTCCCCACAAGGCAATACCTTCTCCCCGCAAATTCCCCCATCCCCTTGCCCCTCCAAGCCCCAGGGGCCCTCTCCAAGAAAGGCGTTCCTTTAGTTCTCTCACAGAAGCAAGTTTAAGGGCACTGCCAACTCTCCGTGATGATCACTGTGCTTTAATGCCAATGACACCACCACCCACACCACTCCTGGAAACTGACTCACATGAAGCAGATGTTGGCACTTAGAGTACTTCTTAAGGCAAGGTAGCAACTGTTGACCAAATTTGATGAGAGTTCATATTTAAGTGCTATGGGTAAAGGATGATGGAAAGTGTTAGAAAAACTTTTTTCTTATTTTTTGTGATTTGTGGGTTAACAGGAAAGAATATCACTCATGGCAATAATTGCCCAAAGTGTGCTTGACTGTGTTCATTAGGATAAGGCCTCCTAGAATGTTTTCTAGGAACATATGGTTGTGTTTTCATGTGAATATACTGTGGCTATGTGATTGTGCCAAAGTTCACACCTCACCCACTTTCTCCCCATCTCTCACCCCTCTCTCCACATTCTAAAACCCAGGTAAATGCACACATGTTGATCTCCCTTTTAGGATTCATGCTCTGCCATTGTATAACATTTCAGCACACCATCCTGCATGTGATCTGGCCACTAGGAGATATTACACTGAGATTTCCATGTCATGTTTCTTTCTCTTGTCTCTTCTTGTTCTTTTCTCTTCCTTGTGTCTTTCCTGTCTTTCTTCATGCCACTTAGTTTAAGGACTTTGTGTATAAGGAGATTATATCTGAATTACATGTTTGTTATTCTGTAATATTGTTTAAAGATTTTGTCTGTAATTCTCATAGCAGCCATCCATTTCATTTGTACAATATTCTAATACATTAAATAGATCTTTGTTCATTCACAAGGATAACGACCCAAGTCATTTGATATAGAGAAGTCATAATGTATTCCATTCAGCACAATGTTGTTAATAATGTGACTCAAAAAATGTTGGAAGACAATATTGTATCTCATATTTTCCCATGTTTAAGGCAGAGTTTTGCATGCACTTTGTTGTTGGTGATGGCATTAAACAGGGAAAAGTGATGAGTAAGAAAAAAAGGGAAAAAAAGATAAAAAAAAAATCATTTAAAAAAATGAGAGGAGAAAGTTTCCATGCATCTATATTGCAAGTTGATGAATGTTCTAATTAATAGAATTTGGTTAAAATTATCCTAGTTTGCTCACATGTTCTCAGTACATCAGAACTAAACCAATCTTGAGGAGAGAAAAACAAAATAGAATAGAAGGGCCAGGGGAGGGAAGTTAACACTAAGGCACATCGGGAAATATTTTCTTTCCCGCTTTCCATGTGAATTTGTGCTCTGCTGGTCATTGTGAGGAATATTTACTTGCAATTTCCCCAAAAATTTGTTTGCGAAGTATGTATATATACATGCACATATATAACTAATCATAGATACACGTGCATTTGTGTATGTATTTTTTTGTCTGATTGTTTTTTGATACACATGCAGAATGACTTTCATATACACATATATAAACATAATAAGCATAAACTTAAACTTACATATACTTAGGCATGACTAAAAGAAAAACACTTTACACCAAAGCGTTTATAAGAAAATGAGAAGACCTGGATATAAAATCCAAGTGTTTTGTGTTTATTTATTTTTTATTTATTTATTTTTTTTTGTGTGTGTGTAGAGTGTATTTTTTCCTGCCATTTGATGAACATGATAATACTGTTGCCATTCATATATATGCATACATATATACGAGATGTGCTCTAAGAGTAAATTCATTCATTAGGGTCAAACATTGAAATTGCATTTTGAATGAGAGATGTGAGTATATACAACACCCATAGTTATAGTTGAGAATTTTAGTTGAACTGACCACATAAGGTTGTGCAGAGTTACTCTGACTTTTGACATGTTTCATGTTTATTATAGTTCTATTTGCCTTTTTCCATATAAGCTTATGTATGAGATATATTTATAAAAGAAAGATAACCATGTTATGTAAAATGCCAAAATTGTTATTGTATAAATTGTATTATGGAAAATAGGAAGAGGAACCAAAGATGTGTATTAGGATATTTGACTGGGAAGTGATTTTATACTTTGAAGGTAAAACCTTGTTTTGTATGTGGTAAAGAAATGGTTTTCTCAAACTTTACCATTCTTTTAGATTGTGATAATGGTAGATTTTGTTTCTCCCTCCCCTCTTGCAAGAGATGTTTGCAATCAAATTTAAAAATTAGGATACATTCACATACAGAAACTTGATTCCTGAAAATCTTAATGCCATGGAACTTACACAGTTATGATGGATTTAAATTCCATGACAATGCATTTAACTTGTTACACAGAAGTGATACATCATTTGCATACAGAGTATAAGTCTACCATCACATGTTATATTGCCAAATCATAATGTTTATGAGAATAAGGTGTGTGCATAGTGTTACGAGTGGAAACTATATTGTTATTATTTGTTATGTAAAGCCTGGGAGGTCCAGTGTGTCATGTTTTCATTAAGTGAAGAGAGATTGTTTGTATGTGATGTGGATTGAGAATATCATTGCATTGGTGTTACTTTCCCTCCTTTAATTTTCATGGTGCAATAATGTCATTATTTTATTTATTTTATGTATGTTTTAAGCAGAGATCTATCAAAATTTTATTTATAAACTATTTATACTGTAAACAGATGAAACCTGTAATATTCCCTATAGGTTGTGAGTCGTCCTTTCTGGAAAATGTATGAAGGTGACAATGCGTTCAATAGGTTAAGCACATTAACTTGGAAAATGCCTCTTTAAGTGCCAGGAAAATTGTAGGGTTATCCATAAGGTGGAGGAGTTTCCGCTCACTCTAAATCTTCTGCCGGTCATCCAGTGCTTTCTTTTTAAGATAACTTTGTAATTGTGTGTACACCAGAAGGACAATTTGAAGGCTTTTTAACATCTTTGTTAGATTTTGAATATTGATGAGATTAGCAAAGAAGAAATCATTTTTGGATTGCATTTTCTTTCCATATACTTGTTTAGCTACATGATTCTTTTTGAAAAGGATGCAAATCTATTTGCCATACATGTGTCACCAAGTTGTATTATTGTCCATCGATAATTTGAACTAATTTTGTATAACTAGCAACGCAAGTGTGATTATTGGTTGTATTTAAATAATAAATGCTACACTATTGAAGTTATCTAATGTGTACCAAAGGCTTAGGCTGGTTGGCAGGACTATTCATACATCCTGCAACATTGTGCCTCTATTGGAACACTGGGAAGCCCATTTTCAGTGTGGGTATAAGCGTTCCCTTCTTATTTCGTAGGATGAAGGTTGAAGATAACATTTTGTACCTCCTGTTAATGTTAAAATTAAAAGTTTGGGATAAATGTGGGATGAGATTATGGGCCTGTGAATCAAGGAAGCTAGTCGTGTACTTCCTCGTGTGAGTAAATTAAGCTATCAGATGGATTTTTTATTGCCCTAAAAATATTGCCATTTATCTCTGGACTCTTGATGTCGCTACGGATTTCGGCAGCTGACATATCAGTGAATGAAACATTCCTTTACTTTGCTCTTAACATTACCTATCATGGTTCCAAAAATGAAGCTACTGGAGATAACTATTAGTGATATTAAAAAAAAGAATAAAAAAATAAGAACAGTAGTACTTGTGAAGAATAGACCAATTCCGTGTTCTTGCTAAATGAGTAGTGGATGTAAACCTCTCGGCACTCACAATCCAAAACTCTATTACCCCCTCCCCCTCCCCATCCAATACCCATTGTTGCTGTGGGAGGACTTAGGAAAGAAGAACTAGAACCCAATGCTGGAACACCCTTGGGCCTCAACCCTTGACTCAACAATTTTGCAGTCTTTTCCCCTTACTCTCATCATTTTCCTCATACCGAAGACTTTGTACCATTATTAGGGGTATTGAGGCTTCTCTCTATCAAATAGCCTCACTGATTTCATTTCTCACGGTTCCCCGACTGCAAGCTGTCCTCTGATCACAACTCTGAATAATACTATTACTATCCCCACCCCAATGCCTACTATCACATCAGTTCAGCCCGAATCATTTACCCAGGTCAATTCTCAACCTCTAGGAAACGTTCCTCTCCCAATATCCTCTACTTCACAGCCTCCACCTCAGCAACTTGTTTTAACTACTCCATCCTCACTTACTACTTCTCTACAGCCTTATTGACCACTCTGCAGTGCTACCTCTCTCAACGCTAGCCCTTCTTCCACATGTCCCCGTCCTTCTACTACCTCCACCTCAACAAACATCTTGAATACTCTGTTTAGTCAAGCCAATAGGATAATTTTTTTGTGAACCCCTTACTCTGACAACACACTCCACTTCCAGCTATATCTCAAAAAATGTGTTGGCAAGGTTTCCTTCTGTAGTAACCTTTTAATGTTCCTGCCTTGTCAGGGTTACATCCGGAACCCAAGCTAAAGCTCTATCAACCCTGACAAACCACATCCCATCATCAATACATGTACCAGAACTGTCTACATCTCGACAAACTGCCATGTCCACAATAAGGATTGGTCAGATTATGGACAAGATTTACTCGCCTGTCTCATGGATCATGATACAGTATAAGTACCAGTATTGCCAAAATTGCTCTCTGTAGACATGACCTCCCCTTTGATGTTTACAACCTGACTGACCATATCAACCTTCCCCCTTTCAGAATTGTCAGAATTGTTGTCTAGACCACCCTCCCAAACACAGCCCGATGCCCTGTGTGTGCTCAAACTGGTCATTATTGATCAAACTGCTCTGCACAATCATGTACATCTGCTAATTATGGTGGACACCATCATGTATTTTATAGGGGCTGCCCTACCTACAAGTTTGAATCTGAAGTGGCAACTCTCGGATTCAGACTTGGCCTCACTCTATGCAAAGCCAGACAGGAAGCACAACGAGGTTTTTCTCTTCTCATAATCATACTCTAATAATGTTCACTCTGCCCCTTCCCCCACTCTCCCAAGATGTTTGTATATCCCCCACGTACCCATTCCTCTTCCATCTTGCATTCCCATTTCGACCCCTACCTCTCCTAATCAAATTATTCTTGCCATTCTTAATCCAGACACAACAATCTCTGCCACTGTCCCAACACCTAACCCTCTCTCTCCTCGTTTGAGAGAGCCGTGCTGAACGGATGAAAGTCTGTTTTTTTGTCGGTCCTGAACGGCCTTCATACTCCTTGTGATATTTCCTCTTTACCCTTTTCAGTGCCATACTAACCAACAGCGCTCTATATCCTTTGCCATATAACGCATTTGGTCCTAATCATTAATTCGTTTTTTACCTTTTTTATCATATTTTATCATAATGGTGTATGACTTTTCCATACCCAGGGCTTCGATCCCAAAGCCTGCCCCATCAATGTATTTTGTATGCGTTGCTATTGACCTTAAATGTTGACGCGGCAGAAAATTTTCAGTAAGTGAATAAATACCTCTCTCAACACTACCCCCTCTTCCACACGCCCCAGTCCTTTTACTATCCCCACCCCTACAAACATATTAAATACTCTATCCCTCCCAATACCTTGTTCGTTGTTGTCGTAGAGGGCTCAGGAGACGGAGACTGGAACGCAGTGTAGGGATTGTCCCTTCCTTGGACTTTAGCCCTCGCCTTAACTAATTTGGCTTGGTCTTTTTTTTTCTCCTCTTCTCTTCCATATCTTCTTCATCCCCTTCTTCTGTCCCATTCCTAAGGTGAGAGAGCTGTGTTGATAGGATGAAAGGCTGGCTTTGTGTCAGTCACGAACAGCCTCCAGGAGCCAAGGGGACAGTATGCCCTTGGTTAATCTCCTAGCCCTTGCCCCGTTATGAGGACCCTGAGGGGTAGACTGTTTCTTTTCCCCATTTTATTCAGGCTCACCATGGCCAATAATGAAGATTCTTTACCCTTACTAGGGGCTTACCCCTTCATCAACTAGCCTATCTGATTTCGAATATGATAATTTTCCGACCACAGCACCTCCTGTAACCACAGTTCTGACCACTGATGCTAATACCCCTTCCTTGACGTTTACTGAAAACTCTATCTATTCTGAACCTACCTTCCAGGTTATTACTCCACCTCCAGAATGCACCCCTTCCTCTCTCCAAACAATCTCTTCTCCATCTCCTACTGCAGTCTTCTTCAATGGCTTCCCCCTCTTCCCTTATTACTATTAATCCTTATTGCCCTCCCCCGGCAGAACTACTCCATTCCACACCACCCCATAACCACCCCATCTTCCTCCTGCCCCCATCCTTCTCTGCATGCAACCCTTTTGAGTACTCTCTGGCCCAGCCAAATGGGATCGATTCTTTTCTAAGAATACCTTTCTCCTTCAGCAGTGCCTCCAGAAACAAGTAGGCAAGGTTACCTTTCGCAGTCGCTCTGATCGTTCACGCCTTATCAGTTACATCAGAATCCTAAGCTCGTGCACTATCTACCCTAACTGACCTTACTGGCAAACCCATTCCTGCCGAACCTCACCCAACTCTTGTACTGGAACTGTTACTACCCCCCCCCCACCGACTGATTGTCCCACATGAGACAAGAACCGGTCAAGTTGTGAAAGAACTTACTTACCTACTTGCTGATTATGATGCAGTAGCAATATAGTGCTACACTATTCCTCCCAGAGACCAGCGTAAGTCCCACGTCAATTTTGCCAAGATTAGTTTTCGTATACAAGACCTCCTTCATGAAGTTATTTTTGGTGGATTGGCCTACCATATCCGACCATATCGGCCCCTTCCTCGTCAATGTCAGAAATGTTGGCGTTTTGGCCACCCAGCCAAACACTTTCTATCCACAGCCCACTGCCCTCTGTGCCCAACCTGGTCATGACCATTCAAATTGCCCTGCTCAGTCACGTACATGTGCCCACTGTGGTGACTCCCATAACATATTTTGTAGGAGCTGCCCTGTCTATAAACTTGAATGTGAGGCAGCAGTTCTCTCGCTCTACATGAGGCTAGACAGGAAGCATGCCGACGAGGTTTTTCTCTCTACCCATTCCAAAACAGTCCTTCGCTCTGCACCCCCCCCATCTCCGCAAGATGTTTCAGCATCTCCCCCAGTATCTCTCCTCTTTATCCTGAACCATCCTACCCTTACTTTCCCTGTCCCTCTTTCAAATCCCTTATCAAGTCTAAATCCAGATACTCCAATCTCTACCACTTCTTCAAGACCTACTCTTCCTCCCCCTCACTTTACGCGTCGCACCAGACAATCTAAACGTTCTACTCCATCTTCGCCTTCCACACCCTCTCCTACACCCTCCTTTTTCCCAGCTCCTAGAACATCAATCCCATGTCTCCTCACAAGAGATCCTTTGTTTCTCAGACCCCCTACCCAGATCCCCTCCAGAAACTGTGGAAGACATTAAAAAAATCCTAGTCATGACCCAAGAAAGTGTTCCGCTCCTCCATCCACCCTCCAATCCCTCTATTCCTAGGCCCTCTACCGTCCATCCTCATCCTCCGCTTTTACCCCACTTCCTCCTCCTCTTTCCCAACAAACCCCATCCTCTTCTCGCGGTACACCATTCCCTTTTCGTTCCCCATTATCCTTACCTCTCCCACTTGGATACACACCTTTGTCCCTTCTGTCGCAACAGTGTCCTCCTCCGGATTCCTCCCTTCCTGACGCTCTTCCTGATACTTCACCTCCTTCCCCAGTCCCCTCATCTCACCCCCAGACTCTTCTCCTGCTCCAAAAGCCATCTCTACCCCTATTACCCTTTGATTGTTTCATAATAGCTTTTTTAATTAGTTTTCTTTAAAGCAATGTCCCCGTAGCTTCCCCAACAGCAGATACACTCCATTCCATCCAATCACCCTATAGCCCTTAACCCTTTCCTTTATTAATGTCCGGTTTTCATAATCTGCACCCCTTCTTTACCCCTTTCCTTATCATACTATCTTATAACACTATAACCTTTTACTTTTAACACTATACTATTCGTTAACTAATTAACCCTTTTCACCACAATACTTACCATAGTGTAATATGCCCATAGATGTCCATCACATTTATTTGTTTCAACCATTAACCATTATTGAATACTCTGTCACATCAACATACCATTTGCCTGAACTAAACAGATTTTTTTTCAATGGATCATAACCCCCCCCAAAAAAAACTGATAAGCTAATCCAAAAAAAGGATTACATCAAGAAAGCTGGAAATGAAGTAACAAAACTGATGAGAGCAAAGGATAAAAAAAGGATAAAAGAAGGGCCTCAATGTCAAGAAAAAATAAAATGGAACAAGTTAAGATTGACAGCAACAGATATCAAACATACACGCACACGTATACGCATGTACAGCACATGCACACACGCACACGCACACGCACACGCACACGCACACGCACACGCACGCATATGAATGCACATGTTGTAATCCAGTTATATCTATATCTAATTACTATATGATACACATGTATATATAATCTTACATGTTTGTCACATACGTATCTTCACACATACATATACATACATATGCATATACGCCTGACCAATGCTTCCCCTGTTTATTCCTCTCTACTTGCCTCACCAGACATTACAATGTTGTGTTGTCTATCTCTTCCACAAGAGCTATGTGCTGATGTATCGCTTGCTTGTTCATCACCGTTCGTCACATGCTAACCACGTGACTTGATGCGATCTTTAGACCATTGTACAGGAGATCAGGCAGACTCCCTGCGGGGAGCCAAGGAGCAACACCTCGCTCCAAGGAGCTGCCGCACTCCAACATCTTATTCAGTAATGGAGTCAAGACATCTTGGTTGTCTACTTAAACCTAGCTCGCCACCTACCAAACTCCTGTAGGACCCAACATTTGGGCTCTTACACATGTACATGCACACGTTTTTGTGTTTGTGTGCATAAGTGTGTGTGTGCGCGCGCGCGTGCACACACACACACACACACACACACACACACACACACATACACACACACACACACACACACACACACACAACACACACACACACACCATTATATATATATATATATATATATATATATATATATATATATATATTATATGCATACATGCATACATGCATATATATACATATATATGTATATATACACTACTATTCAGTTAATAATTCGTCCTTCAGAAGTTGTCATGCAAGTAGCTGCAATAACACATCCAAGTACTCATGATACTTGGTGTTATATTTCTCTTTTATCTGGGAATAAGTTATATTTATATTTATAATGATGGATAAGTCTAAACAACATACAATTATTTATGTCTGAATCTTGGGCTGGTAGATCCCATTAGGTTAACTGTAGAAAATTTAGATCATATCAC